ATTCTTCTGGGGGGAGGGGGAGGTGTCCACTTAGTATTTGGGATTGGGGCCAGTCCCTCAGACCTCTCCACTTGTTCCCTACTGGTCTCTTGTTTTATACCATTTCCATTTATACCAAGGGGTCCCTTCGCCTACTTGTTCTGTTTCATTTTTTCGTTACTTCTCAGCACATAGCGTTCCTTCAAAGCAGGCAAGTTTCTTTTTCATGCTACCTCACCATATGTATTTTCCCTCAGTTTGTGTTGTTACTTTTGCCTAGAATGTAGTCCTCTTTTTCCTGCCCTTTATTCAAATTCTGTCTACCCTGCAAGACTCACCTCAAATCCCATCATTTCCTGAAGTTTTCCTTAGCAAGACAGTTTTCCCCTATTGTGCTTACAAGTTATATCGCTCAGTTGTAGCGCTTCATCAGTTTACCACTGTGTTCATTAGTAGGTGCTTTAATACAATTTGGTAGGAGCTTTGTTGGTGCAGTGGCTAAGTACTTGGCTGCTAAGACAAAGTTAAGCAGTTAGATCCGCCGCTGCTCTGCGGGAGAAAGGTGTGGCAGTCTGCTTCTGTAAAGAGGACAGCCTTGGAAACCCTGTGGGCAGTTCCACTCTGTCCTAGGAGAGTCAATATGAATTGGGATTAATTAGGCAGCAACAGGTTTGGCTTTTGAAAATATAATTTGGATAAATTCCTTGGGACAATAAGGATAGTTTCTTGATGTTCTTCTGGAAGAGAGGTATTAAATGTACATCTCTCTTTCTCCTGCCAGCTCAAGCTCCTGTCTCTTCCAGACACCTGGATGAAAGAGTTTTTTCTGGCTCATATATACACAGAGTTGCAGTTGATAGAAGAGGCCCTGCAGAAGTATCAGACTCTCATTGATGTGGGCTTTTCTAAGAGCTCATATATTGTTTCCCAAATTGCAGTTGCTTATCACAATATCAGAGGTGAGTGAATAGATGAAATACCATCAAACCCTAAAAGGCACACTGCAGTTGTTTTCTAAACTCTTATCTCTTGTCTGCAGATATCGACAAAGCCCTCTCAATTTTTAATGAGCTCAGGAAACAAGATCCTTACAGAATTGAAAATATGGACACTTTTTCCAACCTTCTTTATGTCAGGGTGAGCTCCTTCTCTTGCTTGGACTTGACTTTCCCCTTTTGTATTTTAATCTCTTAGGCTGGATTGCCACCCAGTTAGCTGCATTTTAACTACAAGTAAAATAATTTAGGGGTCGTTTTTTATTCTTAGATCATCTTTCTCTTTTCTTCCAGAGCATGAAATCGGAGTTGAGTTATTTGGCTCACAACCTCTGTGAGATTGATAAATATCGGGTCGAAACATGCTGTGTAATTGGTAGGAGCTACTATATTTATCTTTATTTTAAATATCTTTACTGTAATGAATTTATAATGTAAAAGTAACTGTAACACAAGAGAGCCAAAAAAAAAAAAAAAAAAAACCAAAAAGGTCACCCATTGCTAGTGACCCTATAGGCAGAGTAGAGCTCTTTGAATAGAACTCCCTAAGGTTTCCAATGCTTTAAATCTTGATGGAAACAAAAAAACAGGTCTTTCTCCTGCAGAGAGGGTGATGAGTTTGAACCTCCGACCTTGTGTTTAGCAGCCCAATGCTTAACCTAGTATGCCATTGGAGCATCTAAGAGTGTCAAAGGTAACACAATTATGTATACTATAGAATGCCAAAGTTCAGGGTAATCCTACTTCCAAGACTGAACATAAATCTAGTGTTCTTTTTGTGCAAAAATGAAAAAAATGTGTATTTGTGTGTAGCTTCTTTGCAAAAACTACATCATTAAACATTCTGCTTTATAGCTTCCTGTCCCCCCCAAGTTTCACTCCATCTTGACCATCTGTTCATGTTAATACATCTGTTTGTATCATTTTTGATGACTGTATTTTATTATATAGATGTACTACCATTTTTTAAAAGTTTCCTATTTTATAAGTTGTGGCTGTATTTGTTAATTACTGTTAGAAACATCTTTGCACTAGTACATTGATAGTTGTATACTTATGTAACTTTCCATAGAATAAATTTCTAGCATTGAAAGGAAGGGTCAAAGAGGTGTATGTTCAAAACTTGAACTAAAAGTTTTCTCAAGAATTTCCAATCCTGGGTAAAGCGATGAGTGCGTGCTGGTTTCCTATATTAGGTGTCTCAATCTTGACACTGTTGACATTTTGAGGTAGATCTGTTTTTTACTGTGGTTGTTTTTGGTGGTGGTTAGGGGCCCTGCTGCTGTTATCCCATGCATTGTATATTAGCAGTATCCCTGACCCAATAATTGGTTGACATAGACAGATTAATGGCATCTTGTGGATATAAATAAGCTTGACCAGTTGTGATTGAAAGCTTAGATTCCCTGGAAATGAAAGGAAAATATTTGCTCTTGTTTGGGCCTTTGGTGACACTACTTCAGGATCATACCCCTATATGTTTCTCGGTCTGGATGTTTTTAATAAACTGATAAAATTTGAATTCCTCTTTCCTTCAATAAATACTTCCTTGAGGAAGTCGTGGTCTAGTATAAGAAGCATTAAGTAAAAGGTAATAAGTCCTACAGGAATATAGGTAAGGGAAGGAACAAATGATCTTTCAATAACAGGGCATTAGAATAAGTAGTACAGTCCATTAAGGTGATGATGGAACTCTAGTTTGCTAACAGAACATTTGTGGATCGTCTTCATGTGCTAGGTACTGTGCTTTCGATTGCAGCCCCTACTCTGATTGCCTTTTGAGGAAGACTAATAGGAAAAACTATGATTCAGAGGGTTGAATGTTAGGAGTAAGGTAAACAGAGTGCTGAGGGAGATATGTGAAAGGTGTCCAATTCAATCTGAGATTAAGGAAGCTCCTTGCAGGAGGTAATATTTGCAAGACAAGCAGGAGGAAAAGAGTTCAAGAAAGAAGGTGAGGGGTGAGCCGGCATGCTTGAACTGCAGATAGTTCAGTGTGCCTGAAGCAGTGTGTGGGAGGCAGCAATGTAAATTAAGTGGCAAAATATTCAGAAAGCGCTTATGTATGCCTTGGTTAATTTGAATTTTGTTCTTCAAACAGTAGCACTCTGAAAGATCTGAAACCAGGATACGATTAAAGTAATAAGACAGGCATTTGAGAATGATAAGTGAAGACATTTGTGGTGGGACAGTTAAAGAAAGTGAAAGACCAAGGACAGGCAGAGCAGCTAAGAGGATGTTTTAACAATTCAATCTCGGGAGAATGAGAGCCTCAAATGAGGTATTTACATGGAAGGGAGACAGGAGTTTGGATTTAATGCTGTTTAGAAGTTGATACCATGTTTGGTAAAGGAGAGGCTCAACGAAAAAGAGGAAGGCCCTCAAAGCGATGGGTTGCTGCCGCGGCTGCAGCAGTGGCTCAGACATAGGCAAAGTATTGAGGGTGGTGCAGGCTGTGTGGTTGCTTCCTGCTGCTGGCATAGGTGGCTGGGGGAAGGAACCCACTGATGGCACCTGACAACAGAAGTTGATCACTGGCTAATCAGACTGATAATGGTGCCTTTTCTTGAAAAAGAACAGAGCTATGGAAGATAAGTCCGTATTTTAACCTGTTGATTTGTTGTTGGTAAGTGCCACTGAGGTAGTCCTGACTCATTGCAATCCTACGTGCAACAGAATGAAACACTTTTGGGTCCCTCCCATACCATCCTTACAGTTTTATGTTTGAGCCCATTGTGGCAACCATTCTGTCAATCCATCTTGTTGCTCCATCCACTTCTCTACTGACCCTTACCTTACTGATCCATTCTACCTGACCAACAGGATTGTCCTTTTCTAGGGGCAGGTCTTTCTCGATAACATGTCCAAAGATGTAAGGTAGTCTTGCCATCCCTTGTTTTTAAGGAGCATTCTGAGTGTACTTCCAAGACACATTTGTTTGTTCTTCTGACAGTCCATGGTACTTTCAGTATTCTTTGTCAACATCATAATTCAAATGGATAATTATGCATAATTCAAATTCTGTTGCATTTCTTATTTACTGTCCAATTTTCACACGTATGTGAATCAATTGAAAATACCATGAGTTGAGTCAGGTGTATCTTAATGCTCAAAATCACATCTTTGCTTTTGAACACTTTAAAGAGGTTTTGTGCAGACGATCAGCCGAATGCAGAATGTCTTTTGATTTCATAACTGTTGCTTCCCTGAGAGTTTATTGTAGACCCAAGTAAAATTAAATCATTGACAGCTTCACTCTTCACTGTTAATTATAATATTGTCTATTGGTTCATTTGTGAGGGTTTTTGTTTTCTGTATATTAAGTTGTAATCCATACTGAAGGATATAGTCTTTGATCTTCCATTAGAAATTGCTTCAGATTCTTTTAGCAAGTAAATTTGTTTCATCAGCCTGTCAAAAATTGTTAATGACTTCCTCCAATCCTGTGGTCTTCATCATATAGTCCAGCTTCTCAGATTATTTGCTCAATATACAGATTAGATAATACGATGAAAGGCTATAACCCTGACCCACATCTTTCCTGATTTTAAACTGTACACTATTCCTTTGTTCTGTTCCATCCACTGCCTCTGCTCCAATGACTGGTTTCACATGAATGCAATTTAATGTTGTGGAATTTTCATTCTAATTGTTATCTATAGTTACTTTTGATCTATACAGTTAAATGCCTTTGCATAATGAATAAGACAAGTTAGGTGCCCTCAAGTCAGTTCCCACCCATAAGCATATGCACAACAGAAGGGAACACTGTATGGGGGTATGGTCTTGCACCGTCCTTGTAATTGTTCCTAAGTCTGAGCCCATTGTTGCTTCTACTGTGTCAATCCACCTCGTTCAGGACCTTCCTTTTTCTCTCTGCCCCTACCAAGCATGATGTCCTTCTCCAGGGACTAGTCTCTCCTGAGAATATGTCCAAAGTATGTAAGGCAAAGTCTTTCCATCCTTGCCTCTAAGGAAAACTCTGGCCATATTTCCTCGAAGACAGATTAGTTTGCCCTTTTAGCAGTCCATGGTACTTTGATTAATCTTCACCAGCAACACAACAATTTAAATGTATTGATTCTTCTTTGGTCTTCCTTGTTCAGTGTCCAACTTTCTTTTTTTTAAAAATCATTTTATTGGGGGCTTGTACAATTCTTATCACAATCCATATATACATCCATTGTATCAAGCACATTTGTACATTTGTTACCATTATCATTCTCAAAACAGTGTCCAACTTTCATATGTACATGAAGCAATGAAAAATACCATGCTTGAGTCAGGGACAACTTAGTCCTCAAAGTAACATTCTTGCTTTTCAGTACTCTGAAGAGGTCTTCTGTAACAGATTTACCTACTGCAGTAAGTTGTTTTATCTCTTGACTACTGCTTCCATGAACACTGACTGTGGATTTAAGCAAGAAAAAATCCTTGACAACGTCAACCTTTTCTCCATTTATCATGAATTTACCTATGGCCCAGTTGTGAGGATTTGGGTCTTCTTTACATTGATAGTCCTTACTGAAGGCTGCAATCTTTGATCTTCATCAGCAAGTGCTTCAAGTTCTCCTCACTTTCAACAAGCAGTGTTGGTTTGACATTGAATGCCACGCTATTCCTCTTGATTGCATTATTCTCAGCCTAGTAAATCATATGATTTTGTGATTCAAAATGGCCAATACCAGTCCATTTCTGCACACTAATACTTAGGATATTGATTGCTTTGCACATTCCAAATTCTGATCATTAACAGACTTTTGCAGCTGTTTCTCCTCACCATCAGCAAATGAAGCACCGAAAGGCTCCACTCACACAGGCTTTACTGGACTCATGTCACCATGGTCGATTCCATTCAGAGAAATCAGCTTCTCTCAGCTACAATTCAAGTGCCCTCAGACCTAAGGGGCTCTTCCTCTGGCACTATGCCCCACAGTGTTCTGCTTCCATTCTTTAGGTCCTCAGTATCTGGCATTGTTTCCAACGATGCAAAGGTTTTCAGTGGCTCCTCCTTTGAAGCAGGGAGCCGAGTCCTTGGTTGTCTGTGTTCAGTCTGGAAGCTCTGTTGAGACCTGTTAATTTTGGGTGACCTTGCTGGCATTTGAAAAAGCAATGACATCATGTCCAGCATCACAGCACACACAAGCCACCACAGTATGACTAACTGACAGACGAGTGGTGGCACTAAAACATAAATAAACATTTTTCTGATATTCTCTGCTTTCAGCCAAGATCCATCTTATGTCAGCATTGGTATTATTCCATCCGCATCCTCTTCTGAATTCTAATTGAATTTCTGGCAGCTCCCTGTCGGTGTAATGATGCAATCTTTTAAAAAATTATCTTTAGCAAATACTTACATGTGCTATTGATGAT